GTTTTGGGGTGGTTTTTTTGGGTTGTTGTTATAAAGGCACAACAAAACAATTTTAAGGGTAATCAGATCACTGCCTTTCCCCAGCTGATGAATCTTTTGTTGGGAAGGCCCTCGCGTCTCCGGAAACAACCTCCCTGGCTACTGAGATGACCACGTAGAGAAATAACACGGTCTTCCTTCATCTCCTAAATGTGTCCCAAATATACACCTACCGAGGCCTGAAAGAATAGTGTATTTTGAAACATTACGTCACCCCTACCGATTCCTTGTGTTTTTTTTGTTTGTTTATTGTTCAAATTTGAGAGACCTGCAGTATTTTGGAGCAAAGGTTCAGGATGTTCCAACTGTCTCTAAGTTAGGCTTTAGAAAAATTCCACCCTTACCTTTTCACAATTAGAAAGGTTATAAATAATGTATTTGGCTGAAAAGGAAGCTCAGCCTGTGGCAGATGGTATCATTCTAGAGTACTGGGGTTTCTGTGAAGATGGCATTCTTTCAGATCGGAACTTCAGCAGACTCTCAGAAAGAACCAAAGCTTCTCATAGGGAGGAGACATGTGCTTCGCGGATCTTAGAAAAGCTTACAACTTGGCTCCTAGGAGGAGAGTATTGTGTCACACTGGGGTTATGAGACCCGCAGCCAATTTCTGCCGACTTTGAAATTGTATTTCCCAACCCTGGAAGCTGTGGCCTATTTATTGGTTGGTAATACCGTGCGGCATTTGAACTTGGGATTCTCACCGACTGAGTGTTGTCAGTTGGATTATTTTATTCCCTGAACATTGATGTTTTCTACAGACCAGCCACTGAATAGGAAACTTGCCATACAAGTTGTGTCTTTTTCGAAGTGCTTTGGAGAGCTCGTATAAATAGACACTGAGGGAGAGCTGGAATAACATAAGCACCGAGCCCTGCAACTTCCGAGACATCTGTGTGGATGTATTTTGAAAAACCTGGGAAGGGATCTCTTGCAAATTAATGAACAAAGGTTCTAGAAACTATGATTTCTTTCATGACAGCTAAAAGTGATGGATTTGAAAGATGCGTGCGACCATCAAGCTGCCCTTACCTTTGACCCTCAAGGGGACGAAAAATAGGAAGAGGGTTTGCTGGTAGCCTGCAGTCCTCCCTTGTTTCAGCGACCTTTCTTATTGATCACCTAATACGCATCTGACCTTGGGATGCATCCAGACTGTATTGAGATAAGACCCAAGGCTCACAGTCTGGTAGAAAGTCAACAGCATGGTGAGTGTTGTGGGGGCACTAGGTGTGGAAGTTAGGAAGGGTCTTGCAGGAGCAGAGGTACCCGAGATGTACCCTGAAGGGCGAACAGATGCTATCTAGAGACGGAAGAAGCACGGGTCACAAGTCCAAGTCAGAGGAGCGCACGGTACGCCTTCCTGATGCCATCCACCAGACACAGGCCAGCTTCAGAAAATCAGAGTATTCAAAGAGATGGAAATGCTTTTCTGTGTTTACCCTTGTTAGTCCGCAGTCCTACTTGAATTTAATAATTTAAATAGTACACTCTTCATTCCGCATAAAAAATACCGGCTATCATTTGCAGGTCGTATCAGATACTCTTCTGTTATTTAAAGCATAGTCGATTGGTATGAAATGTGATTATATAATAAAAGCCCAGTAAGGAGGAGGAGGAGGCAGAGGGTTGTCATAGTAATTAGCATCTCTTAAGTCTATATTTGAGAGGTTGCATGCTAACTGCACCACGTGCATTATTTTGTGTCTTGTCTGCTCAAGGGTCGATACTGTGTCTCTTTGAGTCTTTCTTTTCCTGATGCCTTGCGCAATGCTTGGCACATAGTAGGAGTTCAATAAATACCTGCTGAATGAATTAGAAAGTGCCCGAATGAATGGACTCAACCCCATGGAGTGCATACTTCCATCAATCCCATTTAGCACGGGCAATGGTGATAGAATGGCCAGTCGTTAATTGACCCCAGGCCCCTGCCAGAGTGTGACCCATCCTGCACTTGAATGCGGATTTGTTTCTCTTCTGTTTTGTGCGATGAACATTTGGTATTTGTGTGACGTAGGCCAGGCATTGGGCTAGAGAATGGCGTGGAGCCCCAGGCCTGCGTGAACTCACAGCTTAGTGCCATCTTTCTACACCAACATGTCCTTTTGGTTGATATAAGCCTCCCGAGCCCTCCTTGAAGACGGAGAACTTGGTCTGTCCATCCCCACCCCTAGTCTTGGCTTCCTGTTATTTCTATTATTAAAACAATAGATGTTCTTTCTTGGTTTTTCAACTTTCATGGACACTGTTGAATATTGGTTCAGATGCCTTGTGCGTCGCGAGATTCTACAGTCTCTGTTGCCTGCCATGGGAACTCGCTGGTCTACTTCGCTACCATGCCTTGCCTGAGCCTTCGGTAGGGATTATACCACTAGGAAAAAAAAAAAACCCATGAAGTGGCTATGTGAGTAATTTAATTGTATAGAATGATACAGTATGTCCTAGTATCCCAAAGCACGGAAAGGCAGAAAATCCAGAAAGTGACCACAGCATGCATCGTAACTTGTGGAATAGCTTTTTGATTTTTGCCTTGCTTTGGCTAATATCTCCATTAATAGAGTTTTCTAAGCACATACCATGTGACAGCATAGAAAGCATCTAGAAAACTCATTAAGGACAGACAGAGACTCCCAGTGTAGGGTTAAACAAGGGCAGGGGGAAGCTTCAGCGACAACGCACATATGGATATTATTTTCCGCATATGGATAATAATGAACTACATCGCACTGTTACATATGGGCTCTGGTTTTAGCAAATATTTCAGACTTTTTCCCTCACACACACTAGGGAGTCTTCCTCCTTTCTCCCCTCCCCCACACATTTTTTACTGACTCACTAAATTGAATTGATCTGCTTACACATCTGTCTTCCTAATAGATGGTAACCTTCTCGTAGTCAGAGGCTGTATGTCATTCCTCTCTGGACCCTTAGTGTACAGCCAGGCCCACAGTAGGTGTGCAGGGAAGAGCGGATATCACGTATAGGACTATTGGCAAATAAAAGCGGACTGGATTATCTCAGAAACTTCAGCAAAATGTCGATGGTCCGTACATCTCTAAAAAGTAAGACATAAACCACACACAGAACTTCTATGTACATCATATTGACATTTAAGAAACTGCCAGAATGTCTAGGTAAAGAGTAATAATTTTTTAAAAATTGGAGCAAAGTAGAAGAACATCAGCTGTCATCCATTTGCAGAATCGCCATTATCCATCAGCGATCTCAGTCGTTTTATTAGTGTCTGACTTTATTGATCCTTTATTACAATAGAGTAAGTGAGATGGAAGCTGACGGATTGTTAACTGGATCAGGTAATCTTCTGGCCCTGGTTTTGGCAACCTTACTAAGTGTCTCTCTGCAGCGTGGACGGTGGGAGGCTCTTAGTGAAATTGCAAGCTTTTGGGTTAATGGCAGAGTATCATGGGCACATTAAGAATGTCTTTTTAGAGATATAAAATGTGAAAATGACTATAAAGTAGAAAGTGTCACCAGAAAAATAGAAGGTATTATCACCGTGCCTCTTAGGAGAGGTAGCCGTGTTTGACATAAATTATGTGAGGCCAGCTTTGTCACTGGAAGTTCTGCAGAGCACCTCCCAGATTGACATGTTAGGGGAAGGTGTGCGTGCTACAAAATTAACACTGATAATGGATGTCAGGAGATTGAATAACAACCGAAAGAGCTTTACATTAGAAGTGGCCTAAAGAAGATAACAATATGGAAGTACTTTTGTCCCCAAACTGGCTTTTCTGGTTGTTCCCTACCTCCCCAACAATGCGGTCTTCTGTAAACGATTTCACCACAGACCAACTGAAGTCTGAAATATAAGTTCTCAGGTTTCTACACATCAGGGTGAGGGACGGATTGGTGCCGCAAACCCTAATTATTCCTGAGGTTCAATAGGAAATTAATTTAACTGCTACTGGAGAATGCGGGTGTTAGGGTTAAAAAAGACAAAAAACCAAGTGAATTAATCATTGAAATTATCGTTACCAAAATTTGCTGGAGAAAAAGGAACCGCTCTCCTTCATTGAAAAGAATTTTTTTTTAGCTCCTCCTAGCATACATTAAAATATATTTCTTCGCTTTTGTTTGTTAAATGTTAGACTCTGCTTTAAGGATTTTGTTTAGAGCAGGCTGAAGAAAAGTGATGAAATAGGTCATTTTGTTTTTGCGGTATCCTGGAGAAATTGAGTAGGCATGAATTGTAGATATTTGAAATGTGTATGGTCAGTTTGAAATTCAAAACCCAGGCTTTCTGTATGGAGGAAGCCAGCAATAAGATTGCAGGATGTTATTTTCTCCTGATAAAGGATCTCTGTGAAGAGTTTAATTCTTCTCAAATATGGCCGGTTAACCTTTGGACAGTGTGAAGGCACCTCTGATTGAAATCCAGACATTAGGGGTTGAGAGTGCAAATGGGAGGTCTCAAACTCAGCTCCCTGGGGATTTTGGTAAAATGCAGGTGCTGGTCACCTAGGTCCAGAGCCGGGTCCAAGAGTCTGCATTTCTAACAAGCTTCTCAGTGGTGCCAGTTTTGCTGGTCCCTGGACTGTACTTTGAGTAGCAAGGAGATAGAGTCCAGTCAGGAAGATGCGAAGTGGCGTGTCTTTACGAGCTGTGATTGTAAAGACGTCTTCACGTATTTGGATTTATTGGGAGCAGCGGAAGTTTGTCAGCCTAGGAGTAGATGACATTGGTAGAGATTCGATCGGTGCCAGAGCAGAGGCTGGGGTTTGATAGCTTTATACTGGTCTCAGTGGGCTGTAGCTTGCTACTTAAATAAGCATTTGATGATCTACTTAATGAATTTTAAGAAGCTGAAGCTTTAGGCTAAAGTGTGAAACGAAAATGTATCAGTGCTCCGTTGATTAAAAAAAAAAAAACCACAGTCTCCACAATTGAAATCATTTCTGTGTTCCATCTTATGCCGCTATGTATTACAAATGCTCTCCCCCCCTCTTCACACAGAGTATGATTTCTTCCATTGTGAACAGCACTTACTATGCAAATGTCTCAGCAGCAAAATGTCAAGAATTTGGAAGGTGGTACAAACATTTCAAGAAGACAAAAGATATGATGGGTAAGCAAAAAAGCGTTGCAGGGTGGCTACATCTCACTACGTGTCATTGGGGGGGTTTATCAAAGTCACATCTAAAGCCAGGTCCTGTGACTGCCCAATTAGAGATCAATTTAGAATGTTTCTTTGGGGGTGGGGAGGGGGTATGAGTATAATGAGATAATTAAATTCAATAAATGTTTGTGTTTAAATCAGCCAAACTGACTTGGTTGTCAGACATGCAGGAAATCGAGGCGTGAGGGAGGGAGCTGTCATTTTTTTAACATCTTAGTGAAGACCTAACCAGGCCTTGAATAACTAATATTAGCTGTGATTTCTCTCACGGAGAAATCATGCTTTTGGGTTTTATGTTTTTGTGGGAAAGTACCCGCTTTTACACCCAATTTTTAAGGAAATTAAACTGTACTAAACTTGTTAATTTAAGCTGCATTAATAGTTTCCACAACTGAGATCAAGTGGTTTCTGTAGCAGCCCCAGCCAGCCACCATGGGTGGGCACTTTGGTGAGTGCCCTGCTGTACTTACTGTTCCCACGGGAAAAATCATCAAGTTATTTCTAAACTTTTAATTCCACTATAGCATCCTAGCTTAACATGGAACTTTAGATCAATATTTGTTATGCAGGAAATATGTTAAAATTGTCTGCAGTGTCAAATGACAGATAAAGGTTGTGTGCCGCACCTAAACATCTAGATGGTGGCATTTTCTCCCTGTTGGGTTTGCTAGCGTTCACAGACGCAAGCGCTGTGGTTTAGGATTACGTCTTAATTTCTGTTAAAGTTTTCTTTCTCATACTCGTAGCTTCCAAAAATATAATTTTAAATAATATAGGAATGTGATATTTAATATGCATAGTATTATGCCCTGTCTTAACTCTGTTTCTGTTTACCTCTGTTACATTCATTTAATAACAACAATTTTTTTCCCCAAGATTTTAAGAAACAAGAGAGCCTGAATCTTGAGCATATTTTAGCTTTTAATATTTGAAGAAAATCCATCCATCTACCCAAACAGATTCTTTGCCTTTTATAGCTTAGGGCTGAAATGAAGACAATGCATCATTTTCGGAGTAATTGCTTGAATTACTGTTCTCTGCGAATGGCCCACTTGGGCTGGTATCACTGGTAGAAATGGAAGGTTTCCTCCCCAATTCTTAGTTATATTGGCAGAGATCAGTGACTATGGCAATATAGGTTCCTCTAAATATAAAACCTACGTATTTAATGAAAAGAGAATCGACGATTAAAATCATACCAGAGTCCGTCCGTACATGGGAAGTGAGCGTACAGTGTGTTGGAAAGAAGACCCATTTGTGTAGAGCTCTGCACTCAGCCTTTCCAGGCAAGGTCACCCAGTCCCGGCCTCTCTTCATGGCAGCCAGGTGTTTATACGCCAACTCGCAGCCGGTCCACAGGAGGGACCTAGCCAAGGGAGAAGCATGCATCCTGAGTAGGTGGGAGGAAGGAGCAGGGTTCTGAGAGCATGGCCATAGTACCAGAACGAATCCCGCCCCATCCTCAAAGATTGTCTTCACATCTGGTGATACCCGCGACTTCTTGAGAAACCCTTTGAATCTTAGCAACACGGGGTGTGTTGACTTGCCATACCATGAGTCGCTGCATTATTCGTTTGTTGTTTACTTATTTATTAAATTTTAAAGATACGGGGTACTTGCAGGCATCCCTACCACCCATCATGGCTAGAATTAAATGAAACAAGCCATAGATGATAGTTCAACACAGTGTTCAGTATACACTCAGTTATTATTACTTATCGTTATGTTCATTTTATTATTTCTTTATCATATTGTTTTCTTTATATTCACTGTAGATAAAAATTGAACGTAGGTAACATTTTACATCCTCTTTTTTTCTCTCACACTTTTTACTTAGGGTACTGAGGTAAGTATCATGAGAAAATATTTGTGAATTTCTTCAGTTGCTTATTATCGTAAGCTTATTTTCTTAGCTCACCGTTTCTAGTTGCTGTTAAGCAAATGACATCCTTCGAGAAGCCATTTTAAAATAAACATCATTGCGTATTAAGCCTTCTCGGGGTAATGAGTGAGAGAGAATGACTGGTCGCAAGGAATTTGGATATGATTGATTTTATGCCTTAAATCTAAACCACGTTAAGACAGATCAGGAGCGCCTTCCCACATTCAGGGTTTGCCGACTTGTTCAGGAGAGGAAGGCGAAAACCCAGCCCGGTGAGCGGGCCTCATCTCGAAACCCGTCTCGGTGTCCTTGGCTCTTTGGGTGCGCCCGGGGCCTGCCGTCTCTCTTTACTTAGGACGTGATCAGAAATCCTTCCCGATGCCTGTGGCTGTTGGCTGAACGTGGTCTCACCTTTTGTCCACTCCAGTTGAAATGGACAGTCTTTCCGAGCTGTCCCAGCAAGGCGCCAACCACGTCAGCTTCGGCCAGCAGCCGGTTCCGGGGAACACCGCGGAGCAGCCTCCGTCGCCCGCGCAGCTGTCCCACGGCGGCCAGCCCTCCGTCCGGACCCCTCTTCCGAACCTGCACCCTGGGCTCGTGTCGACGCCTATCAGTCCCCAGCTGGTCAACCAGCAGCTGGTGATGGCTCAGCTGCTGAACCAGCAGTATGCGGTGAATAGACTTCTAGCCCAGCAGTCCCTAAACCAACAGTATCTGAACCACCCGCCCCCCGTCAGTCGATCTATGAATAAGCCTCTGGAACAGCAGGTGTCCACCAACACAGAGGTGTCTTCCGAAATCTACCAGTGGGTACGTGATGAACTGAAACGAGCAGGAATCTCCCAGGCAGTGTTTGCACGTGTGGCTTTTAACAGAACTCAGGTCAGTTTTGTTCTGTGTGTAAGTGGTTCTGCTCTCTCTCCCCTTTCTCACCTCCTCCTTCGGTCCCATCCATTCCAGTGTTTATTCTTTTGATCTGTACTAACATTTTGTCCTCATGTGGTCACATTGCCTGTTCCTGGTGGCGCCTCAGTTTCATCGCCGCTTGCCCTGTGCATGCCTCCTCCAGCAAGAGAGAGCTGAGTACAGGTCGATCCCAGCTCAGGGGCCTTGAATGGATACATTAAATATCTAAAATATTCTTGGCCAGGCGTCGTAGCATATGCCTGTTATCCCGGCAACTTAGGGAGGCCATAGCGGGAGAGTCGCTTGAGCACAGGAGTTCGAGACCCACTTAGGCAACACAGCGGGATCTCATCTCTACAAAAAATAAAAAAATTAGCTGGGTGTGGAGGCACATGCCTGTAGCTCCACCTACTTGGGAGACTGAGGCAGAAGGGTTACCTGAGCCTAGGAGGTTGAGGCTGCAGTGAGCTGTGACCCTACCACTGAACTCCAGCATGGGTGACAAATTGTGATCCCGACTGAAAAAAAAATTCTAAACTGGCGTTACTTATGCTTTTATATCATGGGATCGTACACTGTCAGTAGTCAAAAGGTAAGAAGAGCTTCATGACTAGGTCAAGGCCTTTGGCAGGATTCCAGGCTTCTGGCTGAGTATCTTTTCCATGGTCCCACCCGTATCAAACTTTAGTATATAAATGCTCTCTGTTTAAGTTCTTCTGCAACTTTTGTTTAAAAACACCTTGGAAAGCAATTTCTGGCATTTAAGTCTAAGCAGTCATTTTGAAAAAAATATTACATGGCTTATTAACATAAAATGTTTCTCCCTCCTGTTACTATTAAAGGTCTTCCAAACCTCATTCACTAGATCCCAGGGATCAGCAAACCCTATTCTGTGTAGACTATTTTTGACTTTGAGGGACATAAAAATCTCTGTCACGTTGTACAGTAATAAGCAGCCATGGACACTAAATGAATGGGTGTGGGTGTGGTGGTATTTCAGTAAAACTATTGGCAAAACGGGCCATGGGGGGGTTAGCCTGCAGACCTTGATTTGCAGACCCCTTTTCAACAGCTCACTGAGACCTACCTACACCCAAGTGTGCTTGTCCTTGTCCTGGGCAAATTCCTGTGAAGATGCCACCTGTCTGTGTGGAAGATGGTGAAGAAGATCATGGAGAAAAGGTGGTGTGTGAGATAAGCGGTCATGAGATAAAGATATTTGAGAAGCCCTAAGCAAGTTGATTCTATTGAACTGTGAATGAAGGGAATTTTTTAAAAATTCATTTGGAAACTAGTATGAGATAGAGTGTTTATTTCTGGCCCAGGCGCTGGCACGTGCCCACACACAAGAGAACATGTAACTTTGAGGAGAAGGAGGACATCATGTCTTTTCAGCTTCCTTGTTTCACCACTGTTCTTTCTTCTGTCAGTTTATGTTTGCTATTTTTCCTGAGTCATCCTTTCCTCTCATATTTAAGTTATTGTGTTTATTGCATAATCATAAGAATAAAATTCTGATACAAAAGTAATCTAGTATTAATTCTTTGTTGGTAAAGTTTACATAGGAGTATCTCAGCAGAGACTTATTTGTGACTTCCCTTACCTAGATTGGGAGTTAGGATACTTGTCAGAGGCTTTAAATCAGTGTCCGTTTTCAGCTTCTTCATCTGTTGTTTGTACATCTTTTATCTATTTTTAAAAGGGCGGTTGCACAAGGTTATGTCTCAGGTTAAAATTGTGTGGCTTCACCTACTTCCGTATTTTTACAGCTTAAAAAATGATGTTCATGAGCTGGTAAATCTATGACACCTGTATTCAGTTGGTGGATGATTACTGAAAAAAATGAATGACTGACTCAAAGGTCAAACCTGTAGCTATTTCTGTTTCTGGTAGCATTCTTCATTTTTGTAAGTGTAGTAACCACTAGTCATTCTCAGTATGAGGCAAAAAAAAGAAGTCTCTCCATAAAAGTCTAGTAACACATTTTGAATAGTTTAAAACCCATAAAGACAACATTGGCATAGATACAAATGACATGTTTATTTACTGAGAAGCATTTTTAAAAATGAGCAAATCACTTCTTGAAGCACTAAGAAAAGTCTACGTTATATGGTGGAGAACACCAAGAGAGTGGAACTGAGCAAAAGGAGGTTACAGTTGGTCCCATCGTTAAAGAGTTTCGTCTCAGCCATCACTGTGGAGAGGCGGGCACTCGTTCTGTCTTGGTTCCTAACACCCACAGATCTCACGAATACCTCTAGGATTTGTTCCTGGAAGAATGGCAGAATTTTCTTTTTATTCCCAATTAACAGCCTCTTTGAACAGGTAGTCATCTCTGTGGTTAATATCCAAAACAGTGACTTTATTTTTGCAAGGGTGAGAGGAGAATGAAAACCCGATACAGCTTGGGACAGACGCTTCTTGATTAATAATAGCCGATTTAGGAAAAAAGTCATTACCAAAAAATATTTCGAGTCCTCATCATGAAGGAGTTCAGTTTGAAATCTTTAGCTTGATCATGTGTACTGCTCTTTGGTAGAACTGGATGTTAGGCCATATTTGAAGCTGTTGTGCTTTAAATAAGTGATTTTATTTATATATATTAAGTGTTCACCCTTTGAGGACTAGCTTTTGCACGCGCAGGCATGCATGTCTTTTCAGTGGTCATACCACACACACACACATATCTACGCACACAGCTGCATTTATTCCAATGATTATGCATTCCTGTGAATGCATATAGTGTGTTTATTTCAAAGTGTATGCATTTCAATAAAAGCAGGTGCAGATTGAGAGTATGGTGTGAGAGTGGAGGACGAAAATACACATGCTAATGCATATGTATAGATGAGGGCACTGCAGAGTTAAATCACACGTTACACATTTGTGTGCACTGACTACTCCGTGCCTACACAATTCAGCTCTGCGTTTAAAAAAAAAGAATGCAGAATGTGTACATAAAAAATGCCAAGTTGCATGACATGGTCAGATGAAAACGTTACGCCCTATAAACAGTATGTTAAAACACAAATGTAGCAGATAACACGTTTAGGAATCGAGAGTTATTTTAGTCACTGGCGGCTGTGTCTTGTATGACTCTGAAAGACTGGATCTCGGGTTTTACCTCTCAGTTGAGAATTTTCTCATCGTCCTAAGAGGGTCCTCTAAATTGAAGCATGACCCTCTCTTAAAACTTCCACACACGACTATCTTTTGAAGTGTACGTTTTCTGAAAATTTATGGTACCTTTTATATGATTACTTGTTTTAAGGAATCTCCCCCCTTCTGAATTGATGGGCATCTGTTCTTTAATTGCTACTGAAGACACCAGCTTTTAGCATATGTCATTCATTCAGTTATGTCGACTTGATGTCTTTTTAATGGAAACCTAGGGCTAAAAGTAATTGCCAAGGCCTCGAGATTTATACTTTTCGGTTCACCTCTCTGTATTCTGGCTATTTAAAGGTTACGATACGTGGAAATATGTTGTTTAATGCCCTTTGGTTTTTAAAAGAATAAAACCCAGAGTTCACCTCTTATCCCATTCTGTGGCTTTCCCCACTCCCTTTTTCTCCCCCCCGCCCCCATCTTTGGCACACTTTATTTTCCAGTAAAATAAAGAATGAAGATGGATTATTCAAAACTGATAACAGTAATGGCCCATCATGTAATGTTTTATTGAATTTGAGTTCTGTAAATTATGTAGTGGAGAGAAATTTGCCTGCTTAAGTATAACAGAAATTGCTACTGTGTTCCTATAATTCTTCACAGTGTAATTTAAGAAAAGTCCACTATCCATATCACTATTGAATAAAAGGTAAAAAGGTGCTATTACCCCAACGTGACAGCTCGCAATTAGCCTACCAAGCGACAGAGATAAATGTGTCCACTTGCAATTTACCTGGCACAGGTCCAAGGCAGTAGGCGGGGCTTGAAAACAGTCTTTCACCTGGAAATGTGATTAGAAATTCACCAAACAGAGGCAGGTAGCCTGGAAGGGTATTCTGTGTATTTTCTCTTTAGGAGGGAGGTCTCATCGAATTGTATTTTCCTACTGAGGGCTTTGAAGTTCCATGAAGCTGATAAAATCTATTTGAATCAGTGATTATGTTCAAAGAGGAGACAAGCGGGAGGCCAGACAGGCTTTTTGTTCCGATTGGCAGTCTCTTTCGCTTATCTGCTGTTTTAAAGAATTCATAATTAGCTTTTGGAAGTACTGATAATATTTATAGAAGGTTTTTTCTTTTTTTTTGCAATTACTAATGAATTTTACTTGTAATAACTTGTAAACTCTTTTTGGAATGTAAAAAAAGGTTTAGGAATTCATCCCTAAATTTATTCTTCAATTGAAAAAAATTAGAACTTGAAAAAAAATAGAATTCTCAACATAACCACTCTGTAACAACAGTGCAAAATAATTTTACGTTTTCATTGATACAGCACATATCTAATTATTTGTAAGATGTAGCATCCCAATGAAAGACAGCCTCTCATTTCCAATAAAATTAAAATTCATGAGGTGCTGGTAACTTCCTACATAACATACAAGTTCTCAAGTTCTTTTCAGAAACAAGAGTGACTAATGATTTTGTTTGATTTGGTTCAACAAATTGAGCACTGATGGTGCACAATATTGATGGTATGTTTTAGTCCTGGTGTTTCAGCATATTCTGTGACATAACAAGCCAGGTACTTTATGGCCTTGGCATACCGTTTTTTAGCATGAAGAAGAATTTTGGGTAAGAGATCCCTCTTACTGGACAATCTACTGTGGGGGCTGACTGCTAATGACCCTAGCAGGTCTGTATTGTATCTTCAACCATAAGAAATGGGTAAGAGGGGCCACATGCATCTTGAATCCATAAATGCAACTATTCAAGAGACTGCCATATCTGAGTTCTGGTAACAGTCATTTTGCTTCCAGAATTACTCTAAAGTGACAATTTTTTTTTTTTATAATTAACACTAATCAAAATGTTTTCTAACAATATTTTCAAGCTTTTCCACCAGGGGGCACTCCCCTCATTGAAAGCTCTGGGCCAAAAAAAAAAAAAAGAAAGAAAAGAAAAGAAAAAAACCCAAAGGTTTCTAAAACACCTGAGACTGTCTACACTGGCTGAGTTAAAGCTCTTTGGGTGTTCAAGGGTTGGGAACATGTTGATCCAGACCATCAACATATTCCAGGCAGAAAAACTGTACTTGTTCTGGTAGAATAATTAATTTAATTGGAAATTGTCTTGCCCCTAACACACTTGTATGCTAAGTTGGGAAGACATGCCAACATGGAGAATATGGGTGGAGAACCGTTTGGATTTGCTCCCAGGTGACGTGCTACTTTGTACCATCAGCTATACCTGGATGACTTAGTCTCACGTTGGCAAGACTTGAGAAAGAATATTATTTTGTATTTTTTTGTGGATTTGAATTTGCCACTGTAGGTCTCTGCTGCCTCCAGAAACATTTTTGATAGAAATTTGTGAACTATTACTTCATTGTTTGAGATGTCTAAATGTCTAGTTTTAAGTTTTCTAAATAACATCCTAAATATTTATAGGATATTATTTTCCCTAATGTTTTTTTAAATTATTAAACAATCTAGGTAGATAAACATTTCACAAATTGCTACATACTCTATAATTGAAGGCCCACCATGAGTACTAATGATTACCACTAGAATTTACCCATGGGTAGCCATCCTGTTCTTAAGTTTCTATCACCTATTTGCAATTTTTTCTATCGGTGGTCTGCATGCGCATAATTAATCCATTTATTAAATATTTATCAAACATTTAATGTGGTAGGCATTACACTGGGATGACAAGAATGAATATTAAATCCCTCAAGGAATTTGTAACATATTTATGAATACTGAATGTTTGCATCGATCTCTGTTTTTGTGTACTTGATGACGTGTTGCTTTGTCAAGCACATTTTTAATACATAACATTTGGTGGGAGGAGGTAGAGAGTTTAGGACTATTTTATTATTCCCTTTTTCAAGCATTTATTTTTTTTGAGACCTATATGCTTTGCTTTCAATGTGGTTCATCAGAGACACAGTCAATCTAATTAGTTGGCCCTGCGCAAATTAAGTAGCTGGATGATGGACTGCCTGTTGGACTGAATTTTAGTTTGTTGGTCCGGAAGTTCTGCTCCTGTGTCGGACACAGTTGTGGCGTTTCTTGTCAGTGCTGTGAACCAAAGGACGTGTGCCCTTCATTCTTCAGTCTCGTTTCTTAGCGTATAACTGAAAGTTCAGGTCTGATTTCCAGGCTTTGATTGTAATAAGCTAAGTGAGAGACAACTTTAAAATGGACCCTGAAGCCTTCTGCACCTGTCAAAGGTTCGTTTGAATGCTAGTTTGCAAATCATTTGAACAATTGGACGGTGCTTCCATACTGTCTGCACTCAGTCGTTATAGTTAGACAATATGATACAGTATCCTTGAGGAATTGGGAACAAAACCAGGTTTGTACTTCTAGGAAATCATTAAAAAAGGCTCAAAAGTTAGAATCTTGGGGCTGCATGATTTTGGCATGACCCTTTACCTTCCATCTGCCAGTGGACCTGTTAGCCATTTCCACAGATGATTGGAAAATTGCAAATTACATAGAAAGCTTGACAAAATTGTATTCTCAACTCTGTTGGGAGAAGCTGATATTCTGGCTAAGTGAAGAAATCAAATGTGTCTTGGTATTTCAAGCATTGCTTCTTGTACAAGATCGAAGAAACAAGGGCTGTGTAGACCTTATAAAACGGACAGAAGATTTTTCTAATGCTTTTGGCTCATATTACTCCTCCAAGACATTGAGGGAGCCATCCATTTTTTAAAGAGTTCTTCTAAAAGTTAAGAAAAATCACTTGACAATTAATGCTCTTGTTTGGGGAGCAAAGACACTGTATGAGGATTTTCTATTGGTTTGTAAAATTCTCCTATTACTAATAACAGGTGTTATCCCCCCCCCCCCAAATTTGTCAGTTACAGAATTGGGTAATGTTCTTTTCCTTGGCATGCTGAGATAGATTTTTACAATGTGGAAAAGTGGTCATGTATTTCAGATTATATCTATGGTTTCCAAAGTTCCAAATGGCAACTTGTTCCCCAGCAGTATGTGACATGGTGTTTCAAATCATCTGGGATAGTCAGTGTAGTTGCCTTCAAATGGTAAATGTTAAGGGTCACCTGATGTCGTGTACTTTGATAACGTGTGGAGGGTAAGCAATCACTTAAAACATCGCCTGTGAAAAATAAATCGTAGGTGATGCTTTAGTAATCATCTTTTTTCCCCCTAAGATATTACACGTCATTTTCTGGTATTTTCTTTGAAATTGTGACGGAGTTCTCTGGAAATGGCTTTGTCTCTTTACGTGTTGGGCTGTTGGCATTCCCTTGCCTTTGTGTAGGCAGCTTGAGAACTGTGCAGTTCAATGCTGCTGTATTATGAGGATTTCATTTAGTCTTAACTTCCCTGGATCAGTCTCTCTGTGAAAGATTTCATGGCAAGTTAAGCCACTCAAAGGAGGGAGACCAATTAGGCAGTTTCAGTTTATGTTATATGTAAAGCAGATGCTTAATAAAATTAAGAATACAATCGAGGCTCTCTTCTCCACCACTTCAGTGCTAACTAATATATTCCTACGCAGAATTAATGCCTCTGACTGTGCCTCTTCTGAAAGGGGTGAGAAGAAAGGGAAGCCGCGCCGCAGGCGGGCCAAGCCCTGAGCGCTCACCCTGTGCCTTGTCTTCCCCGCAGGGCTTGCTTTCAGAAATCCTCCGGAAGGAAGAGGACCCCAAGACTGCTTCCCAGTCTCTGCTGGTAAACCTCCGGGCTATGCAGAATTTCTTGCAGTTGCCGGAAGCTGAAAGAGACCGGATCTACCAGGACGAGAGGGAGAGGAGTTTGAACGCTGCCTCGGCCATGGGGCCGGCTCCCCTGATCAGCACACCCCCCAGCCGCCCGCCCCAGGTGAAGTCCTCACCCTCCTAAGACTCTTCTTTGTTGGGCTTTTTGTTTTGGAATGTTTGAGAAAGACTCTCAATAAGAAATTAAAGATGTAGATTTAGATTTTTTTTTTTAATTCGTAGTGCTACTTGAGAATTTGGTCCCAAATCACTACTCTGATCTACAAACAATATGCTGATCATTAGATGGAACAATGAAAACTGCTCTGTGTTCCTTCATTCTTCGGGGGTGGAGGTAGTCTTTAAATGAGATATTTATGTCTACTACTTTTATTAAGTGAAGAAGTATTTTAAACTCAGTGGAAGAAGAGAAAGAATCAAGTCAATTTTATCCCGACCAGTTTTAGAACCATCATTTGAATAGTAAATAAATAAAAATAAATAAGTGATTTCATTTGTATTTATGCTTTCCAATACCAACTGCAGCTGGTACCAATTACACATCATCTCGTTTGTAATCTTTCATAATTAAGTTTAATACAATCCTTGAAGGCAGCTTTAAATGGGGCTGATAAGGAATTCCATCCATATTTCCAGAAATGGGCACATTTTCTTTTTCTCCAAATTCTTGCACTCTTGAGGAAGGAAAAGACTCACCTTCCAGGTAACTGTGTGTATTTGCAAGTGTATTATTTTTTAAAGTAAGTTTAAAATGTGGCCTTACAACTATTATGAGGATCTAAGAAATTAATTTTCAATCCAAACGATTAGATAAAAGATTAGTAGTTAGTATGTTAGACTCAAAAGCCACAAGCAAATGTATTTTAAAGCAAACTCTTAAAAATAAAGTCAGCTAACTGAATCTCCTTTCTCTCTCATTTACTTTTTAAATGAACTATATCTTCCGCTCTGAAACAAATAAATAAAAATAAAATCAACTAAAACTGGATAAAAACTGAGCGTGGGCAACAAGATCCCAGTATTTACTTAACATAATGTCATCATGAAATTATATCTTGATGTTAATTTCTTTTTACCAATAGTGAAAGGGAAATCGTACATTTCCAAGCATAGAAAACTGGAAGGAGCCTGTTCAACACTAAAGAATGAAACTGCTGCAGATACTTCACAAAAAAGAAATAGGTATAACATTCAGCCACTTGTTGAGGGCCTTAAATTGCTTATCGTAATGAAACAATTGTTTTTTAGAAATGTCACAAAAATCCACTTTCTCCATTTTATTTAATGAGCACCAATCTGGTCTTGATTTCTGTAGATGCAGACCATAAGGAAACCATGACTGTCACTGTGAATAGGAAAATCATGCTTCTTTAGGAGAAAAGTTTGGCATCTGTAGCCATGGCTCACCCACCTGCCCACACACCCACAGTTGCTGAATGTGACCGCTAAAGCCTCCTCCAAGTGTTTCCTAAGAGTGAAGAGCTCTTCATGCCCACATGTATGACTTGTAAGAGCCATTAGGGAGAAAATGCCATCCTTTGGATTTGGCTTGCCACCTTTCCTCAGGGCTTGTTAGCACTGCACCCTCATTCCTTAGCTTCTCTCCTGGGCCGTGATTTTACTTCTCACCTAATCTGCCCTGCCAGGAAAGAATGGCCTGCTTAAGACCAATGCGAGCCTCAACCTTGAGCTGCTTTTTTAAAATCTAGTCAAATGTTTGACTCAGGGGTCCTTAAGACAGCTTTTGTTTTCTAATGTTTGGGGATTTTAGCGATTTTCTTTCTTTTTCAAATGTGATTCTGCACTCATTCATCGTATTTTTTCTTGAACCAAAGCAACCCTAATTCTTGTTTTAAGTGGTGTTTCTTTTAGTAGGCTATTAAGATACTGTTGCGTGGCTTTTATGCTTAAAGGCTTTATCTGCTGATAAGTGGGGTTAGAAGATATCCATAATTTATTTTGGCCTGCATTATTGATTAACTGGTTGAGCTACCCTTCACTATATTTGTTTGTTCTCAAGAGGAGGTGAGACTGAACCCATAGCTAGGATATTCTGCCAGTGAGGAAAGTATACAGTGTGCAGATACTGTGGATTCCTAGTGAAACTGTTTCAAAGGAAATGTTTCGTGTGTGTGTGTGTGTGTGTGTGTGTGTGTGTGTGTGTGTGTGTGTGTAATTGTATTTCTCTGCTGTCATACAAATCTTTAAGGTATCTTATTTGCCTCGTAGAAAATTCCTTTGCATTACTTAATATCATCATTACAGAGCTCACTACCAATTGGTTCACATTTTACCCTTGAACAGTGATTCAGTGAATTAAATTTTAAGAAACCCTTAATGTGTTAAAAGTATTATAAATGTGAAATGAGTACTTTAGATTTGGAAAAACATGTTATAGAGCAGTTAAATGAGCATTGTTTTGTAGCAGCTGAAATCAAATGCTTAAACTGGAACCAATACACCACATATAAGGTCTTAATATGCTTATTAAAAATAACTAAAGGGACAGAAAGGGGGAAACCACGGATACAGAAGCAGACTGCAACATTTTGTCTTTTTGAAATTTTATATTATGTCAGAGAGAGTCTCGTGAAATAATGTATTCCATTTCCCCCAAAATGTAGAGATTCGAAACATCTTTGGAGATAGATCTTGGGCTTGGGTTACATCTAAACCCTGATTTCTTTCTAAAGAAGTGACTGCACATGCGAGGCAGAGGCCCTTAACAACTCACAGAAGACACAGGCCACCTCGAGGCCTGAGAGACTGGATCCTCTTCCAGTTCCTTATCGACTGTAAATCATACAACAGGTGATTCTGGAATGCCCCTGGGTCATACTCCAGGCCCTAAATGCTGGAGGGACTTGGAGTCTAACTCATCTTCAAGAGGGGACTTCCCTGGCTCGTCAGGCCAGGAAACACCAAAACTCTCGGCTGGCCCTCGGCCCAGAGGAGATGCCTCCTGGCAATGGTGTCCCATCACAGCTCACATGCTCTCATTCGAGAACTAGGACTGTCTTGCACTTGATGATGGTTCACAGTTTTCTAAGCACCGTTCCATCCACGAATGGCTTGAATCCTCATATCCACCTTTTGCTAGAAAACTGAGAAAACCAAGCCTGAGGTTTAGTCAGGAGTTTTCAAATCCCCTGCTCTGTCTGCTGCTTTTTGCTTTGCCTCAGGCCGCCCCCTCAGAGTACAAACTTATTTTAGAAAGAAGAGAACGAAACTTGGGGATTTTTTTTTTTTCTGCCTGCCATAGAGAATAGGAAGTTTTCTTGTTAGACTAGGAAGAGGAACACATGTGAGAGGATCTTCCTCATGAAATCTATTCTGTGTTTGACATGTGACCCGCTTGGGAAGACTGGCCCATGGCATTTCTGGGTTGTGGGGGAAACAGCCCCTTCCAAACTTGGGTCGTATGATGGTATCTTGAAGGACCCAGTTCCCTTCCTCACCCCCAGTCCCCTGGTCTCCTTAAAAGTTTCTTTTCACTCTATGCTTTGCGAATTTACCTGATGAGGCTATTTTATTTTGTTGATAATACAGTAATTAATAATTGTTCTCTCAGAGTGATAAGTTCTACAGAACAGTTTTAAGTGATGATTTCTTCCTTTAGGTGTGTGCTTATTTTCGTTTTGTTTGTGTATTTTAATATGTGTGACTCTTGGAGTTAATTTAGCTATTTCTGTTTCTGTAAAGACTGTTTGAAAGCATATAATTATCAAGTTACAACTGTTACATGAATCATACAACTCTTTTTTTCTTCATCTTTTTTACACATCTTTGTGTAATTCTTTAGTTTCTTCTAAAGGAAAGTGTGATATTTTATAACAATACTTGAGAAAATTTGTGGAGTTGATCTAAGAAATATATAATTAATCTGGTAGCTGCACTGTTGTGTCTCTTTACGACAGGTCCCTCTAAAATGAAATATAGGTTCGTTTTGATTTCAGGTTTGATGACGGACAGCAACTTCTTAACACTTGGGAGAGGGTTTATTTATTATGAAACCATCCAACATCATTTTATGATCTTACTGCCTATAAAACGCTTCCCATTAGTAGTCATCTTTTAAAAGCTAGAGGACTTTTAAGTCTCGATTTGGAAAATAGTTAATTTTGTTCCTAAAAAAAAAGAAAGAGATGTCTAAAAAGATTAAACCATGGTACTAAAGACGGTGTTAATATAGAAAAGTTTGGGACGGGAAATATCTTTCATCACCAACAAGCCTCCATAGGATAGGACATTGCTTATTCAGTATTACTAAGAAAACATTTGTAATTTCCAAGCCTTGAAAGACTAAGTTCGGATTGGACTTTAACATTAATTAAAAACCGTTACCTACTAAAAATCAAGACCTTAATGAGCTGGATTTATCGGAGGGCCACCAGAAAGCAAGTCCAACCTGTGTTTAATAAGTAGAGAATTTTTGCTAAGTAGAGAAGGCCAGGTTACAGTGTCATGAACTGGGTGTAACTCCATGGTTTCTACGATGACAGAACCTCTCTACTCTAGCCGTTTTCTCAGTTTTAAAATGGGGCCATCCTAGTTACCTACTCAGGGCCGTTAGGCAGCTGAAGAAGTTAATATACATTAACCCAGTGCCCAGCACGTAATAAACAACTAATAAATGTCAGCCTTTATTATCACAATTATTAAAACTACATAGAACTTTAATTGTGTGTGTGTGAGAGAGAGAGAGAGAGAGAGAGAGCGCGAGCTTGCGTGAGCAGCCCTCACGCATCAAAAGAGTGGTGCATTCACCAATCAAGGCCAGAGCAGAGTTGCTTTGTGGAACCTTAAAGAGCGATTTGATGCATCTAGTGATCCATGAAGGAGCAAATAGAGTTTTCATGGGAAATGTGTGTTCCACTGCACAATTTTAGGAGCATAAAAGCAGACCCCGGTGCTCGCTCCCCCGTCCACACGTGGCAGGGCAGGTCGGAGAAGCTCCAGTTCCTAGCTACTTCCCGGCGCCGCCTTCCTAATGGAGTAAGAACACCCTACCTTGATAAAAGCTGTTCTGAAAGCAACTGCATTTATTTTGCCTCCTGTGCTATTTGCAGAGAGGAGCTGAAGAGTAGTTTGTTTTGCCTGGAATGAACTACTTTATGAATTTTAATGTGTGATATAATATTAAAAGCTAAACCAGGATTAAAGAAGATTTTTTTTTTTTTGTACTAAGCTAAAATAGTACTTAGTAGAGTGAGGTATAAAAGATTTTTGTTTCCATTTTTACCTGGGGAAAAATTCGGCTTTCATATTTTTGAAGAGCTGTCCAAGTCAGTTTCCCTGAAGCAATAGCTTGTGTTTAGGAAAAAAAAAAAATGTGATTCCAGAATTCTAATAGCTTATCTGCTATAAGATGCATATCTGGGCCAACAAGATAGTGAAGAAGAGCTTTGCTAATTATTTTTTAAATGAGTAATACAGAGATACATTCTAACTTTATATTTTTTAAAGTTTTGCCTTTACATTCTTTTTTCCTTGTAATGTTTCGTGTATACTTGTTTCCTCCTTTTATTTTGTGTAGGCTACTAGGAAATAATTATTTGTTTTTTTTGTTTTTGTTTTTTTAATTTCTAATTCTTTTGGGTCAAATTGTAATTGCTTTATAATAAAAATTAACCCAAGAAATTTTTAGGAAAAAAAATCACGGGGGGGGGGGGTTGAAACAAATGACTGTAGCCTGCCTCAAAGATAAATTCTCAAGCATCATTTTTACAAAAGAATGAAGGTTATTTTAAAAGCAGACAGAAACACCAAGTTTCCAAAGCCTGCTCTCCTAACTATTGCTAAGCAGATTGCTACCAAAGACCTGTTTCTTCCAGTGCCCTTGCCTTGGAGTTGCCATTTCCATAACATTCCATTTTCAAAGCGATTGAAATGGCTTTTCTTTTCTCTTTCATTTAAGCAGTGAGAAAAATAGGTATTAAAAGGGACCCCGTGGGGTGATCAGATCTATCCCTCTGCCTCAAAGCAAGACCACCCCAGAGCAAAGTTTCCATTCTCACCAAAGCAACTTTGTAGGCAATTTATGATAATGCGTTAACTATTTTGGCTCCTGAAGTGGTGTTTAGCAGATTATTGCTTCAAAGCCCTGTATGTGTTCCTAGTGGCCTCCAATCATTAATGTACCTCTGTGAGTACCCTTGCCTCTCAGCACTTGGAAGTGAACTCTGTAGAGGGAGTGTGGACCCTTGCCATTCCAGTGGGTAGGTCAAGGAAGGGAAATGAAGGAAGCCCTGCTCTCGGTCACCTGTCCTGCCTCACCTGCTGCATCCTCCTCATACCCTGATCTGGTCCAACTGTCTACTGCATTTTCTTTTCCCTGCTTAAAAGGGCAGTGTCATGGTGGAAGAGCCTCCCAACCTCCTCAAGATAAAGCTAGAAGTTGGAAGGATCCCTCAGGTGTCTTTGAAAGGGGACTCCTATTTACACTCTGAGTATAGGGAATTGCACCTCTTGGGGGGGCCTTTTGTTCTTTTCTTACCAAATTTTTTGGGGACCTGGTGAAGTAAACCTGGGAGGCTTGCAGCTTGACTAGAAGGGTATGTCATTTGATGCCAAAAAGTTACTTGTTTATCCTAAAACTTCATTTTCTGTTGTTCATAGTTGACCCTGGGAAGTGGGGTCCTACGTAGATTATTTTGCTGGGAGAATCGCGGCTTTGCATCTGTAGGCGTTTTTCATTTATGTCTATCATTGTTATATATTTATATTATATATATAATTTTTATATATCAATCTCCTAGTAAAAAAAATCAGCTACATAGTTCCTATATAAGTTTTCCAGGCTGAGTCATACAAAAAACAAATTTGGAGTTTTAAACATGAATAATAGTATCAATAAATTTTGAATTTGAGATTCGATTTCCCTCCTAAAGTTTGTGGCATTTTCCTGCCTATCTCTGCTTATCATTATTGCCAAAGACATCGATACTAATTGTTCACTCAAGATTACAAACTTTGACTATATGTGTAAAGCCACTGATTATGCATTCTGTATAACTTACAGGAATGTTCTATTAAATACTGTGAAACATTTTCTTATTGTCTGGTTCCACAAGTCAAAAGGAAATAGTTGTGTATAGGGGTGCCGGAGAAAGATGAAATAATTATACAGAACAGCTTGGACAGGCACGTGTAAAATGCAACCAGCCTTTATGATAATTAGGCAAGGCACTCTACCTGTTTCATGGATGGGTAGAAGATTTAAATATGCAGTTCTGCAAATGGCGTTGTTATGGAAGATTTTTTAAATGAAACATAAGAGGAAAAGGCATAAAAAAGGAGTCTAAAATTAAAAAGGCCATAGTATGTAATAGCTATCAGTGATGCAATTGTCTATTAGGCACCGGGCACCCAGTAAAGATGCAGCACTGTTGTGTTACGATTTTAATTGTGAATTTCCTTTGTTAGGATTGCAATGGAAGGTAATTGGGAGACAATTAGTTTAGGGTTTCCAAGTCTTTGAAACTATTTCGTTTTCCAGAAAACTTACTTGATGGCATTATAATTCCTGGCTGTCAGCTGGCAGTTGCCGGTATATTACAGATGCAATCACCTGTGACAATGGGACTTCCTTAACTTAAGTAATCTGATCTCGGGGCAATAACTAATGTTGAATGACTGCACTGTTGATCACCTTGATCATAAAAGGAGCAACGATGTCCAGTTTGAATGCTGAGCCTGAGAAGCTTCAAAACAATTTGGCCAATAAAAAATGACAGCCATGTTCCCAATGTTTTGTAGGTGAAAACAGCTACGATCGCCACTGAGAGGAATGGGAAACCAGAGAACAATACCATGAACATTAATGCTTCCATTTATGACGAGATTCAGCAGGAAATGAAGCGCGCTAAAGTGTCCCAGGCACTGTTTGCAAAGGTCGCAGCAACCAAAAGCCAGGTAAGAGCCTCCATTAGGCATTGAGAACGTTTATCTGCGATGCTGGTGAAATTTTCATTAAGAGGATGACTGTTTCCAATATCTATCGCCAGGATTATTTACAGAGCCCTAAGATGAAACTGTTTAGATGCAGGTGACAGACATTGGTTTTGTGTCTTCCAGCAGCCACTCCCAGACCAAGGGTTTCTCAGTAAATCCCTGAGTCAGTTGAAGAAGAATATTGTAATGTGTAGTAAGTTTCTCAGTCTGGTCGATTGTAGTTGAATAATGAACTTGAATTACTATTGTTTCATTATTACTTAGATGACCTTAATTTCCATCCTAAAATACTACAAACATTACACAGTTTCTTGTGCTTTCAGCTCTGTTATCTATAGCTATTAGGTGCACTTACTAAAACAAACTGGCACACACGTAGATCTTTGCATATTAAAGATTTTAGTTTTTCTGTACATGTACACAAGCCATAAATTGAATCATGATTAGAAAAGTTGCCCAACTCTAATGAATTACAACTGAATGGGCTTGAATTGAAAAAGTTGCAGATTTCTACAAAAGATGATAATACAGCCTTTTATCAGCATAATTGTCATATATTGATAATTTGTGTTCATCAAAAGTAGAATCATCTGCACGAACAAACTTACAATTATCTATAAGCCCTTCTCCAAAGCCAAGAATGCTTTCGAAAAGACCAGGAGGACACTAAACGCTTTTCCCTCTTGGAAAACGGGTTTGACAACACTGTCAGGGTGAGATTTAGAGGCAGTCAGTGACTCCAGGTGAGATTTTTAACAGCTTGAAATTTGACACACGTACATTTTCATTATTGTTAACGGACCCTCTTTTGTAAAACAGTCTGGCTGTTGGGAACTTCTGATAAGATTGGCAGTCCTGGGAGTGTTTATAATCCGTCATGTGTGTAATACAGTACCTTTTCGGCTTTTCCTAAAATTTTACTCTCTCCACACGAATAGTGTTACTTGGTGGGAATTTTGCTTTAGAAAAACGTTGTTCTTGTTTAAGTTTTAGGCTGGATGAAATACTTAAGGGATATCTTGGAAATGTTATATAAAAATGATTAAACTCAAGCTGTGGACTGTAAAAATTATAGCTTTATAGGCCACATGCCTGCCTACCCCTCCATCACTGTCAAAGTGATAATTTCTACAATAATATGTTTCTTTTATTGTGAGATTCCAAACATCAAGTGCTGTTTAAACATTAAACTGAATTGTTTATGTTAGTGCTGTACTCAGCGTGTCATACATCAGGCCACCGTAATCTCTCATGGAATGTAAAATTCTGTCATGAATCATGGCTTGTATATCGGAAATTACTGTAATTTTGATTGGAAATTACAGGGCTCTTGAAATGTTTCTAATTATGATAGAATGTTAGAGCCGCTTTAAACCTGTGTGCGTCTTCAGATGTCTTCATTTACATGCCAAGACTGTGCATTAAGGAGAAATGTCCTGTCTCCCATTACCCCTCCCCCACCTCCCCACCCGCCCCGCACGGTCTTCTTGTGGCCATTTAGTCTAAGGAGGACGAGGAACCTCACGTTGACACATATATTATCTTGCCTTTCTGATCCCACTTTTTCTTCTGACCTGTCCGGTTGTGGAGTCTATCTGACTGCACTCCTGCCAGGGCCGGATACGTCTCCAGATCTCCAAAATGGAGAGGCTAGACATGAATTATAAACAATAAGGGTCAGTCTCGAAACAAAACAAATGAACAATAAAACCGTTCAATAAACTAGCATTGAGTTGCCTGTCATCTGTCATCTGATGTCCTTCCCCCCCTTCACACCTTGTTTTCCTTTCTGACTCCTGTGGTTAATAGTCCCTTTATCACCTTTAACTTCATTCCTGTAACTGACACTCCCGGTTCTTCCCACCTGGGCTGAGTGACCTGTCTGGTCCTGTCGTGGAGATGATGTTCGGAGCGATGGTTAAAACACCCGTGCTGGCTGTACCCTGTTGTGCACACTCCTTGCAGTCTCTGTTTCAGCACTGTCCTTGGGCATCTTCTGTGATGGTGTGTTTCCCGAACGCCCCACAGCTTTTAGCTCATTTCATTACTGGTTGAGAGCGAATCCAAGGACCCAGCGGTAGGCCGTGAGCCTCCCAAGTAGCGGGGACTATAGGCACATTCCATCACACCTGGCTAATTTTTTAAAAAAATTTTTGTGCTGACGGAGGTCTTGCTATGTTGCCCAGGCTGTTCTTTAACTCCTGGGCTCAAGCAGTCCTCTTGTCTCCACCTCCCAAAGTGCTAGAATTACAGGCATGAGCCACCGTTCCTAGCCTCAGGCAGACTATTAATGTCCATTCCCTTAGAGAGGTTTTCTCAACTTGTAAGGTCCTCTCACTTCCTGGCAGAGCACTTTTGTCGTCTTCTCTTAGCTGTTCGAATGAGATGTTAGCCCTACCCTCTGTATGGGAGCATGTACAAAGATTGGCAATGATTTAAAAATAGAACAGTCCCAAACCTGTGTGTATCACTCACCTGACTTAGTGAGGAACGGTGCCCATTCACTTAGCTTCTGTTCTCCTACCATGACGTTTTGTGAAGGAGACAGAAAAAACAAACAAATAAAATCTTCAGATCAGACAGAAATTTTGTCAAGGTCAAGATTCTGAGCTTCTGAGACAGTTACTTAGGCCCAGATCCACATGCCAGGGTGTGTCAGAACGAGGCAGGGGTCCAAGATGGTATGTGAGCGGCGAGAGGAACCGGGCCCATCTGTCTGAACCCCTCCACCTCCGTCTGCTCCCGTGTCTCCCCGTGGTTGTCTGGGTTGGCTCAGCCATCACCTTTTTGTGCTAGACCCCATCGTGCATTATAGGTTATCTGCAGTTGATGTAGTAGCCCTGGGAGCTTTCATTATTCCCCTCATTTTACATGTGAGAGTCACTTGAATAAACAGTAGAGCCAAGTCCAGATTCTCTGCATTTCTCCTCCTCTGTTAGTGTGTCCTCGAGGTCAAGGCTGCATCAGTACCGGAGTTACACCCTGCTCCAGGAGAGAAGACTTAGGGATACTGGGCAAATTAATAGAAATAGTGAGGGCTTTCCTTTCTTCACAGATGTGGTCGTAGAACACAAGTTCTGGTAACACTGAGCCATGGAAACTAGGCCTTGCTGTGCCTGATGGAGTAGGAATCAGAGCTGTGGCCTAGGCTGTGTCACTGCACTAGAACATTGGGAAAACTTGACCTTTTGGAGCCCAGAATTCTTATAACATGGGAAGAGGTCACGTGCTATCATGTATGCAGAAGAGCTTTTAAATGATACAGCACCATACCCAAGTGGTAACATTTCTCACAAGCCAAGCGGGAGGTCTGGTCCTTCAGGTGAATAAGAGTGACTTATTTATCATGTATTTATGTAGCTCAAGTCCCCTCCATCTTAAAAGGTAAAGTGTGTTCTTCAGTGACAAATGCCCCGAGTATTTTCACGGACAGAAACCAACTCTTGTCGATTCGTCCACTTGACCTGGATTATATTCTCTCTTCTCTTCAGTGAATAACAGATATGAGATTGTTTTTAACTCTGATAGAAACGTGTGAATAAAATATGCAAGTAGAAACTGGAGGTAGGCCCCTTTTTGTGCTTGGTTAGGAAAGCAAGCTAATGCAAACTTTCAAAAAATGATATGCTTTAAACATAATGTGAATAGCTGCAAACGAACACACTTGATATTCTGAATACTCAGATAAGCAGCAGTTTTTCCAAGTGAATCATATTGGAATCTTATCAAACATTTAGTGTGATAACATTCAAATAATTATGAGAGCAGAATTTGCTAATTTTACTGTTAAAAAAAAAATAGTTGATTTGGGTAATAACCATTACGGTATCAAGGTTCAGTTACTGTTCACTGGTTATAGTGTTTTCATATGGGAGATGGAAATGGAATTTCTTCCTTAATGGTGGCAGATGTTGGAATCTAATTTTATTCCCCAGCAAACCCCTTGAGAGCCCTGAGACGTAAGGTGTGTGTCCAGCAAGGGGACATTAGCCGCGCCGTAGGCCTTGCCTTGTACACGGAATTGTTACATCGATTTCCATGTTTCATAGGTGGGGCCTGGAGTTTCGCGTGCAGCCCGGGAGCAGAGGGCTTTCCAGAGCCTCACTGCATCACCACTTGTGTTTAGAAAATGATTCCTCTCTAGCTCCGTGTTGAGTAGGACATTTCTCTAAGCAAAGCCACGGGCTGGTGAAAATCCTGTTTGGCTGAACACGCTTTCAGAGTCATCTCGTGCAGCCTCTGCGAGTTATAGGCCTCTCTGGCCGCCGCAGCTTCAGCTGATGTATGAGAATGGCTTCTAATGCCAACAAGGAGAGAGGGAATTTCTGCCTCTGCAAAAAGAGCACAACCAGGAGAGGGGACCAAACAATCCAGAGGCTTTTGCTTTCTTCCAGCTACGTTTCAGACACTTTTGCCATGGAGATTCAGGGTCTCTGGGAGGAGAAAGAGGGAAACAGGGAGAACAGAGCAAGGACTCCTCGGTTGTGTCGGGGAACAGAAGCAGCATTCTGACCTCTGGGTCTGGCCGTTCTTAGGCAGAAGTTGGATGTCTTAAATGCAGGTACGACATAGGTCGCACATCATGGGGGCTGGCGGTAGGGCTCCGCATGTAGTTTTCATTGCTGAGAATAGATCTATAGTGACAGAATCCAGAAATAAAATCGCAGAGCCGGTGACTTTGCATTCTGTACTCTAACGTGTTAGTGAAGGCATCTTTTATTTTGTTTGGATTAAATTACACTTTAGTGTGTAGCCCTGTGCTGATTCATTCCTTTGGAGTGTTGGTGTAGCAGACTTTGCCACACCAGGATGTCACCTGTGTAGCTTCCTGCGTAAGGCACACAGGAGGCCCCGTGCATTTGAGAGGCACGGGTTCTGGGATTCCTGGCATCGCTTTTTTCCGTAGTCATCTGTGGGGAGGCTCTTACCTTGTGGCCTCAGTGCCTCTTCTCTTAGGCCAA